AAATTAGGCAGCAGGTCTCCATGCTCAGGCACCAGCAAAGGGCTGGTGGGGAAGAATTGGGACAACAGAGAATTTCCCCCCTCATATTAGAATATATCTCAAGCTGTTTCCTTTGTTTAGTTTCCCTAAAGCTAGGTCACAGGAATGTTCTGGAAGAGTGCTGTACAACATGAACTTCAGAGCTCTGGAGTCTGACCATTGGCACAGGAACCCTGGCCCTGCCACTTGCCAGCTCTGTGACCTCAGGCCAGTACTTAGCCTTTCTGTCCCTCTGTTGCTTGTGAACTAACTGAGGGTAACAAAAACTCCCACGTCCTGGAGCTGTTGGGAGGATCGCATGAAATAATATGTGTCAGTGCTTAGAACAGTGCCTGGGACACGGAGACTGAGCTGTCTGCAGGACATTCACTGCGGAGTACCTTCAGGGTGCACGCGGGCAAGGGCAGGGAAACCGAGGAAGGGGTGGGGCAGGGGGGACCTGCTGGGCTGCAACGCAGGCCACGGGCAGCCCTGGAGCCATGATGCCCCTTCGGAGCTGTGCTGAGGGTGGGGAAAGACTGTCTGATAATATGGGCTGCCCTGGGGAGTGGGCTGGCCTTGGTTGGGGGGCTCTGGGGTGGAAAGGACATTGGGGTGGGGAGACTCAGCCTAGAGCAGTCAGCTACAGCCCTCTCCTGGCTGGCTGCGGGGAAGAGCGAAGCTTCTGTCCTGAAAAGGAGGCCGCAGCACAGTATCCATGGCTGAGCGCTTATTGGCCAGTATTATGAGGCTAGGTTTAAATAAAAGCGAACATGCTTTTAAAGCACTTAAAACACCCAAAGAATTACTCGCAGGCTCACAGTGACCCATCCCAGTGCTCTGTTGACGCCAAGCCCGTCCTCTCTCCTTGCTGCCCTCCCTGGACGGAAGGCGGGCAGGCAGAATCCGAGAGGCACTTACCAGGCACACTGCCCTTGCGGCGGAGGGCGGGGCAGCCCATGCAGTTGACTTCGCCATGCTTCAGCGAGGTCTCTTGGCCTGTCAGGGCTTCAGCTTTCTCACAGGTCAGCTGGGAGTGGCGCTGCCTCCCCGGAGGGGTGGGTTGGGTGGGACTAAACGGGACACTGCGCAGCAGCAGTACTCAAAGTGCCCCCTGGGCCATCAGGACTGGCAGCCCCACCCGGGTACCTGTTAAGAGTCGTGAATTCTTCGGCCCCACTGAATCAGGAGCTCTGGGACTGAGTCCCTGGAATCTGTTTTTTGACAAGTCCTCAGTGCTTCTGAGGCACGCTCCATTTTGGGAATTAGTGGCGCACCCGGCAACACTTATGTCTGTGCTTGGGCCATTGAGCTGCCTGATCAACCACAGCTGAATCTGAACCTGAGGTCAGACACCTGTGAGCAGATCGCCACCTGCTGGTCACAGCCCCACCCTGCAGGCACACACAAGGCTTGCACAGAGACACAGGGGGACCCATGAACAAGGACAGAGCACTGGACACGAGCACAAGTTACACAGAAGTCCTCTCTTCACTTCCCTCCACTCTCCCTGGAGGCACCAGGTTAAGAGGCTGTCGATAGCAGCTTTAAATGGCCAAGAGAAGTCACCAGAAGACGACAGCAGTGTTTGTGTTTGTGTTTGTGTCAGTAACAACCAGCACCTTTTACCGAGTGTTTGCGTGTCGGACCCTTTGTAGGAAAAACAAGCCAGCAAACGGCAGCCCTCCTTTCTCTGCAGCGCTCATCGTGTGCTCCCATGGGGGTCCCACACAGTCACCTGCTGCGTCTGGCCACCTGGCTCTCGGGGGTGGAGAACATCCTTGCATTCTCCTGCTTTATATTCCAGGTCTGTGTGTGTGTGTGTCTGGAGCCTCTCACCTGGCTCTTTGGCTTGTACTGAGCAGCGTCCCCTAGCGGTGCTGAAATGAACTGCTGGAGTTTTGTGCTCTCCTTAGGTATTTGGAACAAATTTTTTGAGCCAAAAGGCAGGGAGATCAGGGATAGGAAGGTCGGGGAGGGAAGAAAAGAACAGGCCTGCCTAACCCCCTTCAAGTGGCTCCAAAAACTAGGTAGCAGTGAAAAGAAGTGGCAGGAGCTAGGCCTCTGCATGAGGGAGGCGCGTCCCAAGGGCCCCAGAGTCGCGGCTCCTTCTCATTCTCTGGTCCACATTTGGCAGCAGCTCCCTCCTTGGCCCCTGCAGCACAGCTGAGACAGGCTGGCGCACCAAATAATGTCCCTGAAGACTAAAGGAGGTCAAAAGGGCAGTGAACACAGAGCAAAAATATTTTGGATGGTTGGAGCAGGCAGCTGGCTTGCTCGCAGCGCACAGGCCCCAATCCAAGGGCTGCCCGAGGCCCCGTGCCCTGAGCTCCTTGTGAGGCCCAGAGCGACCTCACCTGGGCCCGCTACTTCCCAGCTCCTCTCATCCCCTCAGGCAGGAGCCACTCCAAGGCTCCGACACCTTTATGAGGAACATGCGAGTCCCATTCTTAGTCATAACTTTGTGTCATCTGAGAATCTCAGCATTAGGTCAAGTCACATACTTCTAGAAATAAGAGAGCTATGTGGTCACTAGTCCATGGGAGACAGACATGGCCTTTGCCCTCGAGAAACTTAAATAATGCTCAACAGTATTTGATTAAATACTAACACGTATTCACTCAACATGCATTCAGTACCTTCTAGTGCTGGGGTCAGCAGCAGATGCTGGGGATACTGCGATGACCACGACAGGCGTCCCCTGAGGTGTGGAGCGCACACACCGGGGGGAGGAAAACAGGGAGCAGTCACCCCGGTGGGAAGGGGGCCGGACGGCTGTGAAAGCCTTTGGCGGCCTGGGGGCGAGGGAGGCCTGGGCTGGGCTTGAAGGGTGGGGGGACCCAGCCAGGGGCGGTGGGCACAGAGGTGCCAGTGAAGGAAGGGGGTTTCTAAGTAGGGCAGGGCAGGGCTGGGGGGCTTCCCGCAGGATCTTTGATCTAAGTTGGGCCTTGAGGAAGCAGGAGCGGAAGTAGTATGCGGGAATGAGACTTTGGGGATAGTGGGGTCTCACAATGATGTGAGAAGCAACTGGGAGGAGAACAGTGCCTTTGGAGAGACTGAATGTGGGTGGCCGGCCAGGCAGCCATAGGGAAATATGGGGGGGCACTTCCAAGTCAGAGGCGTGCAGCTCAGGTACAGGCGAGGAGGGGGTGAAACTCAGGCTCCTGAAGAAGAAAACGTAGAGAAGGAAGAGGAGACCAAGCACAGGTGCCGAGACACCTGGGTGGAGGAGGGGGCCGGCCTGGAAGACAGAGAGGACAGAACATGCTCCGCAGGAGCTCAGAACAGCTCTCCAGGCAGGTGGGGAGGAGTGGCTCTGAGAACTGGTGGTGGGCACAGGATGGCCCGTGGAAGTGAGGGAGCTTTCAGAACATATTGCCTTGGTCTCTGCTCCTCTCTTAAAAATGCACCTGATCTCACTTTCATGGCCAAAAATACCCCGAGACACCCCAACAGCAGGTCTGCAGCAGCTGGCCTGTCCTGGGGCTTCAGAGGGAGGAGGCCCAGGTTCTCAGCCTGGTATCGGTGGCCACCCATCCCGGACAGCTGACTAATGGGGCGCCAGCCCTGCCTTTGAGCACAGAGATGAAAGCAGCCACAGGCAGCTGGGGGTGGGCAGGTGGTGGGTGAGCAGGCAGGGGCAGGCCTGCCTGACAGCTTCCCACAGCAGGGAGCTCAAAGCTCACCAGGAGTGAGGAGGCCCCTCCCCTAAATAAGTGGGGCCCAAGGAAAGCGGTGCTCTATCTGGGAGCACAGGGCCCTTCGCGCATCGCTGACAGCAGGCCCTGGCTTCCAGCACAGCCTGCCCGGGACCTGCCCCTGCGTTGGGCTCGGCCAGGCTTCACCAGACAGGTGGGGTTCTGGCCACTGGGGCCTGGGCCGCACCCGGGGCCACACCCAGGGCCACACCCAGGGAACAGTGTGGAGGCTCCAGAAACCCAGGTGTGACAACCTGATCCAAGAACACGGGCACCTACTGCTCCCATTAACCTTTTCTATTGGCTTGACCCTCCTTCTAGCTGTCGCCTCCCCATCTCTGCTCTAATAGGAAGACGCAAACGTGGGGAGCTGGGGAGGGCGAGTGGGCGGGAATGGATACAGCTACAAGGGAGGCAGCTGCCATGTCGCATGCAGTTTGGAGGGAGGTGGCTGTTCTGAGCAATGCACTTCTCTTCTTGGAGCCTTGATTTTTCTCATCAACAAAATGGAATGAGGGGTGAGGATCACTGGGAGTAAACAGGAGAAAAGTGAACTTTCCGAGGTGTCAAGGTGAAGTGTTTGTGGTTACCAGTACCGCTGCATCCATCTTCAAAGTGAGGTCCGCGGAGCCCAGTTTGGGAGCATCCGTGGAGCACCTGGAATAATGTGTAAAAATGCCCGCGGTGGCATCTTTCTGGGGTGAGGACCCACAGCTCTTAAAGAGGCCTGGCGCCCCACAAAGTTGAAGACCCACAGACAGTACGAGTCCGTGCCCGTCGCTTTTGTTGTGCCTTAGTGGGGACCCCAGCCCGCACAGCTTGTCAGAGGCAGAGCCAGATGTGGGGCCCTGACCCCCCCCTCCACCGCTCCCTGCTGAGCCCCCCCAGGTCAGGTGAGGGGAAGGCAGACCTAGGAGAGATCGGGGAGGGCAGGGCAGCCGGAGGGGGAGCCCTGAGCCCTGTGGGAAGCAGGGCCCCCTGTCCTCTCTGTTAACTAGATGAGGACACCACAGCAGAGATGCGGGGCAGGGGGAAAGTCGGGCGAGGAAGCCCCAGGATGGGGGAGGCCTAGAAACCCTTCCTGGAAGAAGCTGCTGAATCAGAGACCCACCCTCTCAGTCTCTCTCTGCCGACAAACCCCCTTCCCCAAAAAGGACCCAGAGGAGAAAACACAACCCTCCCTCTGACAGCACCTCACGATGACTTCTCTGCTTCCCCACCTCCACTTTTGGAAAAGTCACAGGTACCATGTCAAAGCGTCATGGAAAAAGCCACACACACGTGTAAAGTAGTCATCACCCAAAGATGCAGTTTATTGAGCAACTACTGAGTGCTATTCACATGCAGGACGCTTTGCCCGAATCGGCACAGATGTCACCACTTCAGGAGGCCTTCCCTGACTGCCTGGCCAAAGCAGACCCACTTCTGTCCCTCACCCTCCAGTTGCTCTCACCTCCCCGTTCCTTCCCTTCCTCCCGCTTTACTATAACTTATGATGTTCCGTGGGTTCTTTTCCTCCCCACTCTCCTCCACTAAGCCGCAACCTTGCTGTGGGTAGGAGTCCTGTCAGTGTGCTGACTGCTGTATGTCATGCTCAGCATAGTGCCTGCCGTCTGGTAGTCACTCAAATACTCGTTAAATGGATTCACAACTGTCTCCAATCATCACAACAGCTGTATGAGGTAGGTATTATTATCATGCCCAGGGTACAGAAAGAGAAACCGAGGTTCAGAGAGTCAGAGAAACTTGCTTAAGGATGCAGTTTGTTATTTCCAGGCCTCAGCTCTGCCCCTTTCCCTTGGTGGATTTGGAGAACAAGAGAGAATCAGGGTCAGAAGACAAAGGTTAGGCCCAGCACAACGGCTCACCGGTCAGTTCAGCCACCAGCCCGTGCTCAGCCTCCCGCAGCTGCGCTCTCCCAGCCCCTCATCACGGGGCCCCAGGAACTCGGAGCTGTCGACCCGCAGCCGCAGAGCAGGACGCCTATCCAAACTGGCCTGTTTAGTTCCCAAGCCAAGTGAGAGCCAGTCCTTCCCCACCCAGCCCAGAGCAATCTACAGCCAGGAACGCACGCCCCACCCCTCCTCAACACAGCAGATAAATTAGTGGGCTCTTTTATAAAACGTTGTACAGGGAAAATACATACATACATGCAGAACTGGTGACAGTGTGGGGTGAGGTTTGCTCCTCCAACACCAGTACCCAGTCCCGCCCCATCCAGGGGCCTGCCCAGCCCTGCACTCCTTTTCCCTGAAGTGGCTCACCTGCTGTCCCCACGAACTCGTACCCTGGCAGGTCACCACACATCATAAAGGTCCCACGGCCCGCCAAGGCCTGAAGGCAGGGACAGAGAGAGGAACACTGTTCCCTGAGATGGTTGGTGACGACATATCATCCGAACCAGGACTTTTTTGAAAGTGGAAGGGGGTCCCATTCACTGCCAAACAGGCATAAACCGGGTCTGCCCAGGCAGAGGATGAACGGCCACCCTACTGACGGCCCCCTGCTCTGAACCGGCCCAGTCCTACCACTCTTCACTTTCCAAGACACTCCTGGTCGGCAGCCAGGATCTCGCAGACCACATTTCCCATCCCTGCCACCTCCCACTCTCCACGGCCTTACTGCATCTGGGCCGCACATTTTAAGGACTTTGCTGTTGAGCCCCAGGCCTTCTGACCCTTGAGCCCAACCCACAAGTCACAGCTGCCTCGATCCTCTGTTCCCACCGCAAACTCGCCAAGGCTTCGCTCCCTGGGCCTCCCTACAACAAAGGCCTGGGCCAGAGCGAAAGGAGCCATCAGGTCCCCCAGCCCCGCCCTTGGCCGGTTAATGAAAAGCACTCTCTGGTCCCTGCCCCACACGTTCTGTAGGCACATTCCTGGTCCCACCTTGCGTGCTAGGAGTCACCTCTTGGGGTGGCAACAGGTAGACACTGGAGAGGTCAGCCTATAGTGCCCTGCACCCCCACGCGGTCGGCCCGTGGTGAGGGCCCGAGAGGCAGTCAGAGCCACCCCAAGATGGGTTCCCACTGGAATTTAATGCCCCACCCCTTGCTTTTAGAACCTGTTCGGTAGGCCGTGCTTGTAAAACTGCTTTAAATAAGCCTTGCTAAAGCAAATAGTACCAGATAGCAGAAACTCGGGCTCCAGGCTCCTGAAGGTGCCTCCTCCCCTCCCTCCTTCCCCCCACCCCCATCGACAGACAGTCCACAGCACCCCGGACGCAGAGGCCCGCTCTTGATCTTCCTGGAACCACTGCTTCTCCCTCCTTGTCCATCCCCTGCCTTCGGAGAGCAAAGACTGTGTCTGGGTCAGGCTGCCGTGGAACGCCTGCTGCATCCCTCCCACCCCCACGAAAACCAGTGTCCCATCTGCGCCCTTGGACTAGAGCTGCTGGAACCCTGGGCTCAGGACGGGCCACTCCGATGGGCTCCTGAGTAGGCGTAGGAGATGGGATGGCGGGTCCCAGGCCTCACGGTGAACGTGTTGATGGGGCTTCTATAGTGGGGGGTGCTGCGGGGAGACCTGGTGGGGAGCAGAGAGAGGTGGGATGAACTTGCAGCTGGTTAACTAACCCCAACCTCAGCTGGCACCCCAGTCAGCCAATACCGTTCACCAGACCCAGGGCTCCCCCTCCTGTCCAGGCCCCGGGGGGACACTCCTACCCTTCTCCTCAGAGCCCTTCACTCCTAGCCTGGCTCTGGAACCTTCTGTGTCCTTGGGAAACCCTGCCACCCCAGGACCACTCAGACCTCCCTCCACCAGAAGCCTGAAGCCCTGGGACTCCAGCAGGTAGGAGAGAGGAGGGAGAACAGGAAGCAGGGTGGGGAAAGCAAGAACAAGGGAGGTCAAGGGAGATGAGGAAGCAGCTAAGGGGAGCGCCCTCTGTAGGGAAAGTGAGCCTCCCGCCCCTTTGGGTCCGCAGAGTGTGTCTTGGACTGATGGCCCGGGCCTGGTCCAAGGGCAGTCTCCGCCTCATCTGGCTGCCCAGGCCGCACCTCACCTATCACCTTCCATCGCCCCTGCCCCCAGCTCACCTGCCGGTAGTTGTAGAGGAGGGGAGAACGCGGTCACCGGTGGGAGCTTTGCCAGGAGCTTTGAACTTGGCCTCTACGCGAGTGGAGCCCTCCAGGGACATCCTCCGTGCTCCCAGGCCGCTGGGACGTGCTCGGCCCGCAGAGTTGACGCGCCGCACCTCCGGGCCTCCCGGCTGCGGCCCAAAGCAGTTGGGGGAGCTCAAGCTGCGGCCAGTGCCCCCGCGGGACAGCCCAGGGCTGCGGTGGGGCTCCCCGACGTACAGGCGCCTCTTAATGAGCGAGCGGCTCCCCCTCGAGAAGCGCCCTAGGCCTCCAGCGCCGCAGTAGCGCTCACCCGCTGGAAAACGCGCAGAGATCGCGGGGCCCGTGTCCAGGGGCTGCCCCAAGTCTGAGAACTTGTTCCCCGGAGGGGAGCCCTGGCGGCCCAGGTACTGCAGAGCCGAGGCTGGGGGGTCATTGCTGAACTCCGGCGGTGGTGGGATGACCTCAAAGCCAAACTTCTCCTCCTCGCCCTTGTAGGAGGGGGAAGAAGGGGAGGAGAAGGACTTGGGCAGCAGGTGGCCCTGGGGAAGGTTGGAGGACGCTGATCTTTCCCAGGCCACAGGGGCCTTGGCCCGGTTGTACTCTCGGCTCGGCTCTGTGTCCTCTGAGTCCCGGTCGGGCTGGGCCTTCCACGGGCTGGGCCCAGAGGGCTGTGTGGAGGAGGCCTGCTGGGGGTCCTGCCCAGCCTCTGGGGGTAACCTGGGGACCACAGTGAAGGAGTTGGGCCGGCCCTCCTTGAGGAAGATGCTGTCAGAGCATGCCTGGGGTGGGCTGCTGTGGACACGGATGCTCCCCGGCAGGGAGGACCGACCCAGGCCAGCCGCCCGAGACCTTCCCTTCTGCGCCCTCTGTCTGGCTGCAAGGAGCAGGGCCATCGGGGAGCCCCGCTCCACCACCTCCCCTGTCACCGGGTGCCTGAGGAGTTCGTCAGCGGGCTGGGCTGAGGCTGGGGGTTTGGCTGACAGCCCCTGGGGCTCCTTTGCTTCCACAGGCTCCCCTGATGCGGCAGCCTCTCCTCTGGCCATGGTGGGCATCACCGTGGCAACCTCTCTACCGGGGCTGTTCTGGCTTCGATGAGGCCTGTAGAGAAACGCCGCCTCTTCTCTGCCAGCGGCTGTCTTTGGCGGGAGGGCTGGAGATGAGAAGGCACCCTGTGTGGGAGGTTCACTGGCCTCTGAGGGCCGCCCTTCTGCCTTTGGCTGGGAAGGCACTGCAAATTCTTGAGGTTTGGGTTTCTTCCTCTGCTCGGCTGGGACCAGGTTCTTCTCTGCTGTCTGCTGTAACGATGTGGTGGGCAGAGTTGCTGCAGCAGAAGGCACAGCAGGCCCAGGCCCAGCCTTGGGTGGCGTGGCTGGCCCAGGTGTGGCTGGTCCAGGTGTGGTTGGCCCAGGTGTGGCTGGTCCAGGTGTGGCTGGCCCAGGTGTGGCTGGTCCAGGTGTGGCTGGCCCAGGTGTGGCTGGTCCAGGTGTGGCTGGCCCAGGTGTGGCTGGTCCAGGTGTGGCTGGCCCAGGTATAGCTGGTCCAGATGTGGCCTTGGACTGGCGTGGTGTGGCTGGCAGAGGGGTGGTGGATAATGGTGGCATAGTCTTGGCCACAGGCTTAGAGAATTGGCCATTATCAGCTCTGTTTTCAAAGACTCTTCCCCCTTCTAGCCGAGGTTTAGGAGGCAGAGACCCTTTGCTGGGCTTGGATTCCTTCTCTGCTAAGGACAGCCGGGCTTCCAGCTCGTTCCGGATCTGCTGGACACTGGGAGCCGCAGAGCCTGGGGACAGGTAGTCCACAGGGGGCAGGGGCAGGCTGGCAGCCGCCTCTCCCTCTGGACAGGGACTCTTCCCAGGATCCCTTGGGGGGGTCTCCTTCTCAGGCAGGCTGGGGCTCTTCTTGCCCTCCTTTCCCTGAGAAGCCACCGGGGGGCCTGGCTGCTGACTGGTGCACTGGTCCTCTCTCCTGGAGCCGAAGAGGTAGGCTGCCAGCTCGCTCCGAAGCTTTGCCATCTGGCTGGGATCCCGCCAGTCCACAGGCTCTGAAGAGGCTGTGTCCTCTGGACTAGGGGGGTTGGGCTTGGGTTTGGGAGGAGAGCTGGATTTGGGGCTTTTCAGAAACTTAACAGGTGGAGGAACTGCCTTCTCATCAGAGGGCAAAGGAGGGGCAGCTGGGGGGAGTGGGGGTGCTGGTGGAGGGAGTGGGGGTGCTGGCGGAGGGAGCGGGGCTGTGGGAAGAGGCAGGGGAGAGGCTGAGGGCAGAGTCTCAGTTTGCTCCTTTGTCCAGGTCTGGGACTGGCTCAGCCTCGGGCTGCCAGGTGCCAGAGTCCTGAGCTCCCCGGGTCCATCTGGCTCAGGGGCCCTGTCCGGGTAGACCTGGGATGCGGGGCGGATGTGGAAGTTGGGAGGCAGTAGGAGTCGACCGGGGGCCTTCTTGGCGGCCCCTTCTTCCTCAGGAGAACCCCCCTGTGCTTCCTGAACGGGGATGGACGAAGTCCTGACTGGGGTTGGAGGAGGCACCTTGAATGAACGGGGAAAGGTGAGCTGGGGCTCTGACTTAGGTCCCAGAGGGCTCCCCTTTGGCTCAGCAGGGCTCCTGGGGGGGCTGGTTCCGGGGGCCTCTGGCTGCTTGCCATTTAGTGCTACGTCTGATTTCCACTTGGTGACACCCCCAGGGGGAAAGAGGTGCGTGCTCTTCACGTGAGGAGACGCTGCAGTCGGGGGTGCTGGGGCCGGCATAGGGGGTGGGGGTGGAGCTAGAAAGGCCAAGGGTGGGGCAGGGGGGATGAAATCAGGAGGGGCGGGTGTGGATGGGGGGGACAGGACCCCCAGTACTGGGGGTGGAGGTGGGGCCATGCTGGGCGGGGGCGGGGGTTCCAGCAGCAGGGCAGGTGGTGGGGAAGGCTTGGGAGGTGGAGGTGGCGGTGGGGACGCCCCTCGAGGTTGCGAGGTGTCTGGGAGCGGCACTGAGGGTGGCCCTGGGGCTGGGCCTGGGGGAGGCGGGGGGATGAGTGGGTCCTGGCCATAGTGCCCAAGCCTGAGGTCACCCACAGAGTTGTACAGTCGGAGGTTGCCGTTAACCAGGGAGCTGGTACCTGGAAGAGGGGAGACACGAAGACGAAAAAGTGGGAGGCCGACCAGCGCCGGCAACCTCTGTGTGCCCGGGGCACGAGGGGTGCGACCAAGATACCAAGTGGCCAGGGTCAGGCCTGTCCTGTGAGCACCGAGTGAGGGGGCAGCGGTGCCTCCATCCCCCGAGCTGTTCTGGGGGTGACCCCCTTCTTTCCAGGGACAGACGCCTGCCTGTCGCTGGCCCAGCCTCCGGAGACTATTGAATACTCTCCATTTGCTCCTGAGAGTCGCGTCCCACCCCCCTTCTCTGCCCTGCTCCCACTCTGGTGTATCACCCCTTTACTGAGCTCTCTTCAACTACCCACTGGGAGGGCGCCGTCCGTCTCTTACAGGGACCTTGACTAGTATAAAGCCAGAAAGACCAGGGTTCAAATCTCAGCCCTACTTCTTATCAAATGTGTGACCTTGGACACACTAATTAACCTTGCTGATCCTCAGTTTTATCATCTTTAAAATGGGCATAATATCAGTGCTTACCCCATAAAGCTGTTGTGAGGATTAAATACGAGAATTCCTATAAAGCTACATAAAGGACAGATCACGTGGTAGGTCCACACTGGGCCCTTAATGAGTGGGCCTTTGGTCATTTTGGCAGTGACTTTGGTCAGTACCAGCTGTACCTGACGTTTCAGACTGGGTGGGACAGACAGGGAATGTGAGAGAGAAGAAGTCACGGATCCAGGGCAGGGGCCTTGCAGACCTACTCAGTAAGGAAGTTTGGTGCAAGTTTGAGAGAGAGCAATGTTCTGCTTTCTAAAGACCCTGAATCTACCACGCACCCAGCTCCCCCCCTCTCAGAGAACTTCTGGAACAGATACCAGGCTGGGGGGGGGCATGGGGGTGTGTACAAAGGTGACGGGGACAGCCGGGCACCAGAGAGCTGCTGAGCAACGGGGGCCAGCAGCGCACACCCCGCCCTTCTTGAACCCAGTCCCAGCTTCTCCCTGGAGCCTGCAGACACCAGGATGCCCTGGTCGTTTCTGTCTTAAGGGCACCCCTCCTCCGCCTCCCCTCCTCCCAGTTTCTGGCACAGAGCCTAACAAACCTGGGGCGGGGGGGCCTCTCTGAAGGGCCCCTCCAACTATCTGACTTCAGGACAAAGAACAGAAGGGAGTGGCCAGGGCAAAGTGAACCTTCACCGACATCCTAACATCCCAAGTGTTAGGAGCTAGGATACATCACAAAAAACAAACAAACAAACAAAGAAAAACCAGAATGAAAATTAGTCCAAGTGCTAGCCCTCCGGACAGTATGTTGTAGTGGGACAAAGAGACAGACCAGGAACACAACCCATTAGTAAATTATTACCACGTCATTAGAGGATGGGTAACGTGAGGAGAAAACCCAGGAGGGAGGTGCAGTCTGAACAGGCTGATCAGAGAGGACCTCACTGAGAAGGTGACCTTAGGGCAAAGAGGGAAGGAGTGGGGGTGAGAGCTGTCCGTATGTCCGAGGCAGAGCAGACTACAGAGGGAGGTACTGTGCAAAGGTCCTGGGGTGCAGACATGCCTGTGTGTTCAGGACACAGCAGGGGGCAGGCTGGCTGAGGAGTGTGAGTGGGGAAAGAAAGCGGCCCAGGAGGCCAGGCGAGGCCCGATGCTGGCAGTCCTGGCAAGCACCTTTCTTTTGAGTGTCATGGAAAGTCACTGGCAGATTTTGAGCAAGAGGTGCGACAAGAAGTGACTTATGTCCCATCCAGCACTTCATTGCTCCCCATAACTGGAGTCGCCTGTCCCACTGCTCGCATGAAGATACAGCGGTGCCAGGGGTTAAGTGATCTGCCCCAGGGAGCAAAGCTAATGTGTGTGGACCTGGGGTTCAAAGCCGGCAATTTCCGACTCCAGGGTTCTTTCTCCCACTTCATGCTGCCCTTGTTCCTGCCCTGGCCTTGGCCCCCCACCATTCCCCCCCCCCCCGAAGGAGGCCTTACCCTACCCTGGCTCTCCTCAAATCCCACCCACCGAAGCCAAGAAGCCTGGGGACTCCAGTTTTATCACCAGCTGGGGAGGTGGGCCAGATACTTGGCCTGCAGATGAAGAAAGATGGGCAAGCCTCAAGCCTGGGGTCTTCTTACCTGTCACTTCTTTGTCTGCAAAGTCTTCTGGGACAGAGGGGGTGGGCACAGCCAGCGCATGGTTCTCCTGGGCATTCTGCAGGAGAGCGGAGAGGTCAGGGGACAAGGAAAGGTGGGACAGGCAATTCCAAAGTCGCTGCTGCGTGAGGCCACTTTACTGCTGCGAGGGCAGTGAGTGCACAACCTCGTGAACACGCTGGAGGATCCAAGGGCTCGTTTAAAAAGCCGAATGTTACAGTCGAGTCTTGTCACTCACAGCAGTTGGATCTCTATCGCCTCAAGGGAAATAAAGGTTAAGTTCCTGCAAACCTTAGTCACAGAATTTTCACTGAAGGATCAATACATAACTTTGTTTAATGTGTGGCTCTGTTTAAAGACACCTCATTTAACATGTATTCTTTTTTTAAATATATATTTTATTAATTATGCCATTACAGTTGTTCTATTTCCCCCCTTCATTCCCCTCCACCCTGCACACTCCTTCCCCACCATTCCCCCCCTTTAGTTTATGACCATGTGTCTCAAGTTCTTTAGATTCCATATTTCCCCTACTATTCTTGCCCTCCCCCCTATTTATTTTCTGCCTACCATCTATGCTACTTATTTTCTGTACTTTCTCCCTTTTTCTCCTCCTCCCACTCCCCTATTGCTACCCCTCCATGTGATCTTCATTTCTATGGTTCTGCTCCTGGTCTAGCTGTCCTCTTAGTTTGCTTTTGTTTTAGGTGTGGTTGTTAATAACTGTGAGTTTGCTGTTCTTTCACTGTTCATCTTTTTTTTATCTTCTTTTTCTTAGGTAAGTCCCTTTAACATTTCATATAATAAGGGCTTGGTGATGATGAACTCCTTGAACTTGATCTTATCTGAGAAGCACTTTATCTGTCCTTCCATTCTAAATGAAAGTTTTGCTGGATAGAGCAATCTTGGTTGTAGGTCTTTGGATTTCATGACTTGGAATACTTCTTTCCAGCTCCTTCTTGCCTGCAAGGTCTCTTTTGAGGAATCCGCTGACAGTCTGATGGGAACTCCTTTGTAGGTGACTGTCCCCTTATCTCTTGCTGCTTCTAGGATTCTCTCCTTCATTTTAATCTTGGCAAATGTAATGATGATGTACCTTGGTGTGTTCCTTCTTGGGTCCATCTTCTTTGGGACTCTCTGTGCTTCCTGGATTTCCTGACAGTCTATTGCCTTTGCCAGACTGAGGAAGTTCTCTTTTATTATTTGTTCAAATAAGAGTTCTACTTGCTCTTTCTCTTCCCCTTTTGGTACCCCTATAATTTGGCTGTTGGAGTGTTTAAAGATGTCCTGGAGGTTCCTTAGCCTGTCCTCATTTTTTTGAATTCTTGTTTCTTCATTGTTTTCTGTTTGGTCATTTTTTTCTTCCTTCTGGTCTGCTCCCTTGATTTGAGTCCCAGTTTCCTTCCCATCACTATTGCTTTCCTGTGCATTTCCCTTCATTTCAATTATTTTAGCCTTCATTTGTTCCTCTAATTTGTGACTAAAATCAACCAGTTCTGTGAGCATCCTGATCACCAGTGTTTTGAACTGTGCATCTGATAGGTTGGCAATTTCTTGTTCACTTAGATTTATTGGCTCAGGAGCTCTGAGTTCTTCTTGAGCCATGTTTTGATCTGTTCGTGCCTGTTACATATGAGAAGGGGAGCCCTAGGTGTTCACCAGGGCGGGGCTATCCAGGTCACTGGGTTGTGACGCTGTATGTGGGGGCGGGGTCAGAGAGGGACAACAGTGGTCCCCTCTGCTGCTTCCCACCACTGGGGCCTGCGAGATCTGTCTCACTGCTCGCTCCTTCACCTAGTTCATCTGCACGTGAATGTGTGACCGTGGTCAGCCTGCTGCCTTGCGCCCTCAGTGGGTCCGCTCATTGCTACCCCACACCTGGGATCCGCCCACGGCTGCCTTTGAGCCTGGATTACGCGCCTGGGTCAGTCTGGTGGATCTTTCTTGCCCGACCGTGCTCTGCTGCTAGCTCTGCCCCTCTTACCAGTCTGGCTGAATGGTTTGTTGTTGTCAGACTTCCCTATAGTTCAATTTTCTATGCTTTGGCTGTATTTTTGTTGCTAAAACTTTGTTGTTTTTAAACTTGGTTGTGTGAGAAGGCACAGTGCTTCCACCTATGCCCTCCATCTTGGTGGAAGTCTAATATGTATTCTTGACTTGCTGACCCAGAACTCATGGCCAGCAACACTATAACTCAGGCCTGAATGAAGTGTGTTTTCTCTCCGAGACTCACCACGGCCTTCCTGCTCTTAGGAACCTTAGACAGCACTTCAGTGCTATGCGTAGGGCCCACTGGAAACCGTGAAATCGCCGACAAAAAGCACAGAAACATGAAAATATGGCACCAAACAGAAAAGACCACTTGTTTACAGTGTGACGGCTGAAATGAGAAGCAAACTGTCCTCTTACTGCACCTTGGCTGGGAATGTGTGATTGGGGGAATGAAGTTTTACCCCTCTGCCTCTGCTCATGGCCAAAGCATCTTGAATATTGATTTGGGGGCAGCAAATAAATTTTAGTGAGTAGGTGAATTTCCAGATATAAAACCCACAAATAATGAGAACGAAGCGGTGTATGAATTATACCTCAATTTAAAAGCCAACCCCCAGGCCTGGTCTCCTGCTCACCCTTAGTTTTTATCAGCGAGTTACAGAAAGGTCAGTAGGTACACAGCAGACCAGAGCATTTCCATCACCGCATTGCGCTTCTGGCCTCTAAGCTTAACAGGTGTACTGTGTTTACACACTGTCAGTTGGTGCACGTTAATTTGCATCCCACTTCTTTTCTCCAAACACACATTTCCATATGTCAACAAAGTCCTCTCACTTGTCCTGTGAAGACCATAGCGCATTTTACGGCAGCACTCAAGGCCCTCAACCACCCGCCTCACACTTCCTGGACACCTTTGCTTCCCACTCACCTGTTACCCCCATGCTGCATGCTTGCCGACCCCCCCCCACCACCCATCCAACCCACTCGCATAGTTCCGGTTCACCCCAGTGCTGCTGTTGGTCAGGCCGTGACCCCTGCCCCCTGTCCTTTGCCCCCTGCCATTCTAACAGTGACACCGCTTGCACTGTGCTCTGAACACACACTCCAGTCGCACTGGGCTGCTCACTCACAGGCTGATGGCGCTAACCCTCTGGGCTTCGTGGTTTAATGTACAAGAAGGGGGATTCAAGGTAGATGGCTTAGGAGTATCTGCAAGGTCCTGGGTGACTGAGGGTAATCTGAAAGTTCTCTTTGGTCATTTGAAGGTAACAAATGTCTTCTTATCCTTACAGAATTCTGTAGCTAGAACGGCCTTAAGTCACCATCAAGTCTCTTTTTCTGCCTCGACTTGACGCACACGACCAACACAAAGCTGCTCCCAACGTGTCTCAAACCGGTGATGCCGACTCAGGGGCAGGGCTAGGGAGCGGCCCGCCAACGTGCACACGCCCCTCTGGTGTCTCCTAACACTCATGAAGTACGTGCACTCTGACTTGGAGGAGACAAAGGCCAGACTTCCAAAGCCAGGCTGAGACCTCTGATTACTCTTTTGAACACAACTGGAAAGTAGACTTCCCATCAAAAGTCATGCTTTGAAGTTTGCCCACAGCGTGACACCTGAGGAACAGCGGCGAGCCAGGGCAGGGACCGCGGTGTTTACCTCTCACGTCTGCACCTCCTGTGTGCCAGCCCTACACCGAGCGCTTTACCTGCCTTATCCCAAACCCCGACCCGGGGTCAGGGTGCAAACCTAGGTCTCCCAGTTCATCTTTTCCACCAATCACTGAGAGCAATTTCTTCCCTTACACAATGGAGACGATACTTCCTACTTTGCAGGCTCATTATGAGAACCAAATGAGATAATATCCCTAACCCAGGAGGCCAGTGCTAGTTGAAGGATTATGTCATCCATCCTCTCCCCCACAAACGTGAAAACATCGAATGAGCAAAGCTAAGCTGCCTGGAACCCTGGAAGTACTTCTGGGTCACCCTGAGCACTTATGTATAATTATAGGTGGAGGAGGGAGATGGGCGGGTCGAGTGGACCGGGGAAGTAATACCACTCGCACACGCCTTGATCCTAACGAACCTGGACATTCATCACACACCCCAGACGTCAGGATGGAAGTCTGTCTCCTGAGCAAGCAGAGCTTGGGACACTTTAAGTCCCCACGCACCACGGGCCCCAGGACACACCCACTACCTCACCACAGTGCTTGAGGTGCCGCGGCACTCCGCCGAGTGCCACCCTTGGGCCAGGTCCCCAAGTCCTGCCTCACTTGTTTGGGAGCTCCCAGGACTGACCTGAACACAGCCTCTCACCTCCAAACCCCAGTGACCCTGCTCCGTCCCTCTTGTGCCCACGCGAGCTCCAGCGGCTCATTTAGCTGTCCCTACTACGTTCACCCTGGGTGTTCAGAGAAGGCAAACACAAAGTCATTTTAAAATTAGTTCTCGAAAAACAGGCCCGGAAGGTGAGTACCCCTCACTTACCACGGGACACAGGCAGCTGGCACCGAGCGGGCTGCTGAGTGGGGACGCAGCTCAGTGCGCAGTCGCACAGGCGGAGACAGCGTCCATCTCCGCAATGCCGAACGTCCTGGCCTGCCTCTCTCAGCCTCAGAAAATCGAGGCAAAGAAGGGGGCTCGGAGGTGGTGCCGAAATGCACTGTCCTTCGGGCACCTGCTCACCACCGCACACCCAGCTCGTCACGGAGCCTCCTTGGCAACACGGAGTCCTCTGTCACTGACCCCACAGGTGGGCCGGGCTGGGACAGCCTGACTTAATTTCTCTGCCCTGCCTATTGCTCACCCTGTGCGCCGACACTGATTAGGTGCCTCCTGTGTGCTGGGCACCTTTCTGAGCACTTCCTGTGTAGCAACCAGTTTGTCCTCGCAGCCACTGACAGTCACTTTATTTTATAGATGAGGAAACTGAGGCACAGAGAGGCCGAGTACAGTGCCCAAGGTCACACAGCTAGTAAGAGGCAGGGCCAGTCCTGGCACCTCAGAGCCAGCTCTGTGCCACTATGGCGCTGGCCGCACACTTTTCCTCCAGCAGAAATC